GTTCGTCTTCGGGCCGGCTCGGGGCGACCCCCTCGGCCCGGCGGGGTCTCTGCCGGCGGCCGGCGGCGAGTCAGCCGCTGCCCCCCCGCGGGGTCGGAATCCGGGATCGAGGCAGACCTGCGAGCCGATCGAGCAGTTCGGCGCCGGAGGGTCTACGGCAAGGAGCCCGCGACCGACGAGCACGGCCTGACCATGCTCGAGAGGCGCGCGGTGAAGAAGCCCCAGGAGGCCCGGTACAAGCGCGCCGCGAGCGAGTTCTAGCACTGGTGTGTGCCGACCGGCATGGCGATCAACAACACCTGACAGCTCGACTTGGCGGTGACGGCCTACCTCAACGAGCGGTTCTTCGAGGGCTTCCCGAGCTCCTTCCCGATGGCAGCCCCGACATGCTGCCGGCAGGACCTGTCGGCCAAGGCGCCCGAGCTCCCGCGTGCACGGCGGGCCCTTCTGGGCTTCATGAAGGCGGCGCCCGACCGGTCGCGCTGGCCCCTCCCGTGGCCTTTCGTGGCGCTGTTAGCGGACGCGCTCATCGGCCAGAACCAGTGGACGGCGGCGGCCGCGACGCTCCTGTGCTTCGTGTTCTACGCCCGGCCGTCCGGGCTCTCCACCTGCGGGTGAAGGGCGCCGCCCCGCCGCCGCGCGGCGGCCCGCGGGCTCTCGCCCTGTGGGCCCCGCTGCTGAATGCGTCGGAGAACGGCGCCCCGTCCAAGACAGCCGAGTTCGACGAGTCGCTGAGCCGCGACAACCAGGATTTCTCATGGGCCGGCGGCCTCCTGACTTGCCTCCGAGCCGGCCGCGGCGCCGCGCAGCCGCTGCTCGACCTGAAGTGCGCGACCTGGGTCGCCCTGTTCACCTAGGCCGCGGTCGACGCGGGCCTCGGCGTTCTGGGGCCGCCCACGCTGTGCCAGCTCTGCCACGGGGGGGCCAGCCGCGAGTTGGCTACCCGCGCCCACCCGCTTGCCGAGATCCAGAAGCGGGGGCGATGGGCGTCAGACACCAGCGTGCGACGGTACGAGAAAAGCGGCCAGCTACCCACGCAGCTGCAGCGGGCGACGGAGGCCGCGCAGCGGCTGGCCCACGCAGCCGCGGCCAACATCGGGTCCAGGATCTTGAGGATGCCGTCCGCCGCGCGTCGCTGAGTGGACGCTCGATTGCTCTAGAATTTTGCTCTGGCTCAGGCAATTTTTCCCGCGCTTGGCGCCGATCGTTCCTGAAGCACTTTGAGATAGTTGAGGTTGACACCCGACATGGCGCGCACTTCGACCTGCTAAATGAGAATCTTGTTCGGAGAATTCGGGGCTGGGCGCGCGCTGGTCTGATTGCTGCTGTCTGCCTGGCTCCTCCCTGCTCTTCCTTCTCGGCCCTCCGGTGCCTCTTCTCGCCGGTTCGGTCCCGGGCCTTCCCTCTCGGCCTTCCCTCCCTCGCTCCTTCAGACGTCAACGTGGCCGACCGTCTTTGCGCAGTTGCCTCCAGCCTCCTCTACCTCTGCAGGCGGCTGGGCATTCCTTGTGTCGTCGAGAACCCGCCCACTAGTCTTCTGTGGAATGTAAGAGCTTTCGAGAGCCTTGCCAAGACCCAGGGCATCGATGTTTGCGTTGCAGACTACTGCGCCCTGGGTGCCCCCTGGCGCAGGCCCACCAGTTTTCTGTGTGCGCACCTCTCGTGCAGCCATCTCAGTAAAGCCTGCCGCGGCCGAGGCGTCTGTTCTTTCTCTGGCAAGCGACGCATTGAGAGATCATTGACTCCCGCCTTTGTGGCGTCAAAAATAGTCAGCTCTCAGAGCCTTGCCCTCATCGTCTGCGCGCTGCCTTCGTTCGATGCTTCGCGGAGGCAATCTTTCGCCTGTTGTCCCAACCATTCGGCTGATTATATCAAGGCTTGCGGCTGGAGTGTTCTTTGGGCCAAATTCGAAGTTGACGAGTCGCCGAGGTTGGAGCTGACCCAAGTCGGCTTCCGGCCTTCCCGTTCCTGGCCGCCGGGCGAACGGCGACTGGAGTGGCGTCTGAGCGCCCGCCTGGCCTCGAAGAAGAACGAAGCTCACATGCCAAGTGTTTATCACGGTTTCGTTAGTTTGAAGTCTTCGTGGGGCGGCCGCCTTGGGGTCGCGGAGTCTCGTCTCTCTCCGTGACCTTGTTGGCTCAAGCGCCCCCCGTTTAGTTCCCTCCCTGCGGATCTTCGCAGAGGTCTCGGAGTTGTCGAGTCGCCGAGCTTGGAGCTGACCCAAGTCGGCCCCTGGCCTTCCCGTTCCTGGCTGCCGGGCGAACGGCCGCTGGAGTGGCATCTGAGCGCCCACCTGGCCTCGAAGAAGAACAGCGCTCACGTATATGTACATATGTGTGTATATGTATATGTACATGCAAGTATATATGCACGTATATATACATATACATGCGTAACTGTACACATGTATATGTTCGTGCTTATGCATATAAACATGTTTACGTAGTTGCACTTGTATTTCAACTTGTGTACGTGTAGTATTTGGATGTCAACATGTGCATGTTTATGTATGTGTGTTTGTATGTGCTTGTATGTGCGCATGTCTAGGTATTAGTGCATGTGCAGGTTTATGTATGTACACACACATTATATATATATATATATATATATATAGAGAGATATATCCCGGGGGGGCAGGCCCGGGGCCCGAAGGCAGCTGCCCCGGCCCTCCATGGGGGGGCCGGGGCCCATTCTCCTTGTGTTTTTAAGAAGGTTTCCGCGTCCTGGGCCTCGGAGGCCGCCGCCTCCGACCCCCCGTGGGAGGGCGGGGCGGCCGGGGGGGCCCAACGTAGTTCAGGGGGGCCTCCAGAGGCTCCCAAGACGGCCCAAGCGGGCCCCGAGTCGCCGAAGGACCGCTCCAGGACGCCCAAGATAGGCCCAAGACGGCCCGAGAGGCCCCCCAAGGCACTCCACGACGCTTCAAGACGCTTCTCCAGAGCGCTTCAAGAGGCCGAGATCGTTAATTTGAAAAGGTTTTCGAACGATTTTGGCCTTCCAGCCTTTTCGGCTGTCCGACGTTCCAAGACGGCTCAATAGGCCCCCAGGAGCGCCCCAAGACGGCCCAAGAGGGCCCCGAGACGGCCCCAGAGTCGCCCAAGACAGCCCAACAGAGCCCCAATAAGGCCCCAATATGCGCCCAGGAGGGGGGCCGCGACTCCAAAATTCGACCCCCCCGCTTGGAGAGTGCCTTAGGAGGCCCCAAGGAGCCCCCAAGAGGCCCCAGGAGGCCCCCAAGAGGCACCCAGGAGGCCCAAACGAGGCCTAAAGAGGCAACGAAACAGTCCCGAGGAGGCCGCGGCGCCCCGGCCCCAGCCCTGATCAAGCCCGCGGCATGGCGGCTGAGCGGCGGACGCCGCGCAGCGCCCGCCTTGGCCGACTGGCGAGACCCCAGGGCGCTGGACCTGGTTGCCATCGGCGCCATGCTGGCCAAGCTGGCTGAGGGCGCGCGGGCCACGTGCCGGGCGGGTTGGCGGAACTGGGTCTTGTGGCGTCGCCTGATGGGGCGCAGCCCTTACCCCCAGGGCGACAGCCGATAGCCGCGACGACAGGCTCGCCGACGAGGGCGGCCTTATACGTTACGTGGTCTGCCTCTACAAGGTGATGAAGCGCCGTGCCGCGACGATCTGTACAGCGCCTGTTCGCCATCCGCTACGCCCGCACCCTTGCGGGCTTCGGGGATGTTGCCTCCGACCGCCAGCGCCTCTGGACGACCCCTGATGGGCTGAGGCGCTGGGGTGGCAAGGTCGATCGGAAGCTCCCGGTCACGCCGCGGATGCCATCGCTGCTGCGCGAGTACCTGCGCCGCGAGGGAGCGGGCTCGCCCCGGGGCGCCGCGTCCCTGTGGGCGGCCCTGGCCACGGGCTACTTCTTCATGCTCCGTGCCTCGGAGTATCTCCTGCAGCGCGGGGCGGCCTGGTCCCAGGAGCGGGTCGTGCGAGGAACCGACGTCCAAGGCTTGGCGAACGGGGCGCCGCTGGACTGGCTCGAGAAGTGCGACGGAGTCGTATTCACAATCACGTCATCGAAGACGGATCAGTACAACGCGGGATGCCACCGCAACCACCTTCGGTCGGGTTCCCCTTGTGCGTGGTGCGCCTTGGCCGCCTTCCTGCGGGGGTGCCCGCAGAGGTTTGGGCGCGGGGGCGAGGCTGGGCCCCCGCTTTGTCGCCTGGCTGACGGGCGCGCGGTCGCGCGGTCCATGGTCCAGGACCTCCTGCAGCTCGGCGCTTCAGCCGTCGGGGTGGTGGCAGGGTTGCTTGTTTCGCACTCCCTCCGCATAGGAGGGGCGATCGCCTCTACCACTCGTGCCGGGACCTCGAGGCGGTGAAGCGCTTCGGTCGCTGGGCGACCGACGCGTTCCACGGGCGCCTGTGGGGGGGCCGTCGTCGCCAGAGGTCATTCGCCCGTGGGGTGGCAGAAGGGCGCGCCCTTCCAGCGCCCGACGCGCGCGAGGCCGGCGTGGATTGCCGGTCTGGGCGCCGCGGTGCGGCCCGCCTCGGGCATCGGGCTCAAAGGGCCCGCGGAGGAGGCGGAGGACGCGGGGGATATGCCGTGCCCGCGCGTCTGGCCTGGAACCCGGGCCCCCCTTGGAAGCGCCCGGGCCGTCGCGCGGGGGGGCGGGCGAGGGGCGAGGGGGGGGGCGGGGGCGATGGCAGAGGAGAGGCTGCCGAGGATGTCGGGAGAGAGCGGTGTGTCGCGCGTGGGGGTGGGGGGGGCGTGCGCCTCCTCCCGATGTGGGCATCTCGATCGACGTCGAGCCCTCGCCCTCTCCCGCCCCCTCAGCTTCGCTCCAGCCCGCGCGGCCCGCACCGCAGCCCCTGTCGTGTCAGGAGGGGGGCCGCCGCGCGCGGGCCGACCCGCGCGGGCGCGCGATCCGGGCGCGCGTGGCAGCTGCGCCCGCCCCCCTCGCGGGCTCTGGGGGGAGATCGCCGCGGGCGAGTCCGCGGCAGAGCGGCGGATGCCCAGCCCGGCCAGGCGATGCCCGCCGCTGCGCCGCCAGCATGGCCTGGGGGCGGGTAGCCGCGCTCGCGCCCCTGGTGGCGGGAGGGGCGATCGGGGGGGCCGCTCAGGCCTTGCTCGACGTCGCCCCGAGCGGCCAAGTCGCGTGCTACCTGGAGGTGGCCAGCAGGGGCGCGGGGCGCGAGCTCCTTTCGAGGGCGCACGAGATCCTGTCCATCGTGCTGGACGACGGGAGCGTCGACCAATGCGCCGTGGTGGCGGCGGAAGCCCTGGCGGTGGGGTGCGACGCCGAGCTCGGCTTGACCTGCCGCGCAGCGGGCAAGGTCGGGCTGTGGGGCGCGGGGTCGGCTTCCACCAAGGCCCACCGCGCCAGGGCGGCCACGCTGGCGTTGGCCGTGGCGACCTTCGCCCGATTACCCGAGGCGAGGAAGGTGGGGGCGGTGGGCGCCCTCGACCAGTCCACGGCGCGAAACTGGTTGAAGCTGGTGGAGGAGTTCGACTCCATGGCCGCCGAGGGTATCGACGTGAAGTTCAGCCGCGGCTCGGGCGCCTCCGCGGGGGCGGGGGCCCTGGGGGCAGCTGTCCTGCCCCCCGGGCTAGCGGGGGCGGTTGGGCAGGCGCGCGACCTCCAGAAGACCGCCTTCTCCAAGGCTCCGAGCCGCCCGCGGATGGGGCCGAAGCCGAAGCCGATCGGTGCCCCTCGCCACCCGACTAGCCCACCGAGGCGGACCCGGGGGAGCGAGGAGCGCGGGCATGGGCGTCGGCCCAGCCCCGCAGCGGGAGCGGCGCAGCCGCCGGCGCTCCACGGCGGACCGCCGGCGCGCCGCGCCCGGGGCCGCCCGTCAGCAGGCGCCCGCAGCAGGTCGCCCCCCCGCAGGGGCGAGCGCTCGCAGGAGGAGGCGGCCGGCCGCGGAGATGGAGGACGCCGTGAGCAACGGGCTACGGCAGGGGGCGAGCCCGCGTCTGGGCGTGGCCGGGCGCGAGCCCCAGGCAGGGAAGCAGGCGGCGGCTTGCGCGCCAGCGGCGAGCCCTCGGCAGGGGCCAGCCGGCCCCCCCAGGAGGGGGGGGGGTGCGCGGCGCGGGCGAAGCGAGAAGCCCAAGGTGATGTGCCTCTCGCGCGCCCCCTCCGACGCCTCCACGGACGACGTGAAGTTCGCCCTCGGCCGCTGCGGGCCCCTCGGGTGCATCGGGTGGCTCCTCGGCGCGCGCTGGAAGCGGGAGGGGGCGGCTCTGGTGGAGTTTTGTGGGCCTACCGCTGGGGCAGCCGCAGCGAGGGCCCAGCGCGAGATCGACGAGCGGCGCGTGTTCTGGGAGGGGCGCGGCGACCCCCGGGTTCGGCTGAGGGGGGCCAGTGAGCCGAGGTCTCAGTGCCCCTCGGACGGGGGGGGGCCCCAGCCGCGCCGCCCCCGTCGCGCGCTGGTTGCGACGAGAAGCTCAGGTGGAGCTCGGCGGCCGACCCCAGCCCAGGAGGTTGGCGGTGCCACCTCGGCGAACAGGGCTGCGTGGGAGGCGCGCGCAACGCGGGGTTGCGCCGGTGGCGCTGCCCGTCGTGCCGCCGCTCGATGTGCGACAACTGCCACATGCTGCCGGTGTCCAGCTGCGACGAGTACAGCGGCGAGGCAGAGGAGGAGTCGAAGGGGGAGGAGGTGGCCGCGCGCGAGCGGCCAGCCCGCGGGGCGAGCCGTGCGCGCCACAGGGGAAGCGAGAGCGCGGGGGCAGCCCGCGCGGCGAGCCCCCGGCGCGACCGGGCGCGCGGGGAGAGGGCCACCCCGCCGCACCGCCCCCCCCCGCAGCAGGGGCTGCGGAGGAGCGGGGGGGCGGGTGCGCAGCGCCAGTGACGACGGGCCCCCGCTCCCCCAGGAGCGGCCGCCCAAGGGGCGCCAGGCCAACAGGGCGCGTGCCCCGCGCGGCGGGAAGCAGGTGTGGGAGAAGAGCGAGCGGCGTCGCGAGCGCGAATGCGCCGCCGCTGGGCAGCCGTGCGCGCGCCCAGAGTGGACCCCCACGCTGGGAAGGCGCGCGGCAAGGGGCGGGGCAGTCAGCCCGCCGCCCCGAGGAGGGGCTGAGGCGAGGGCGAGGGCCCCAGCCTTCCCGCGAGCGCCCCCTCCGCCCCCCTGCGGGAGGGGGCCCTCAGTTTTTGGCGCGCGCAAGCTGCCCTGCGCCGCGCGCGCGCGCGCTCGGCCCAGCGAGTCCGCGCGCGCTCACTTTTACGCGCGCCGCGCGCGTCGCCGGCTTGCTTCTGCGCCTCGCGCGCCACTTGTGCGCGTTGGCACCTCCGAGCTCGGCGAATTTTTTTCTTGTGACACTGTGCTGCGAGGCGCGCTCGGGAGTCCCGCGCTGCCAGCAGCGCGAGCGCGGTGGCGATGCAGGGGCGGGCCAGGCCTTGCCCGCGGGGCGTGGCCGGCTAACCCCGTTTGCCGCCCCCCCCCTTTATTTTCGCTGGCGCCCGCGCCGTCGCGCCTCCCTCTGTCGGCGCAGTCGGCGCCGTAGGGCTTTTCGCGGGGACTGGGCCAGGGGGCCGCGTCGCGGGCCAGAAGGCGTCCTGCGGCCGCCCGGGCAAAAATGCCCCCCTCTCTCCCTCGTCCTCGGCCCGCCTCGCCCCCCTTCCTTTCCTCCCTCTCTTCATGCTTACGCAGGCGCGCAGTTAACTTACTAGTCTGGCCTACTGAAGATTGTAGGTTAAGTGGGGGAAAGGGCGCCCCATTTTGGTCTCATAGCCGTGAGGATCGAGCGGAGTTGCCCACCCACCCACGACCTCGCTCCCGCGCGCGGCCCTGTCCCCCTCAGGGGGCCGCGTCGCGGGCCAGAAGGCGCCCTGCGGCCGCCCGGACAAAAATGCCCCTCTCTCCCTCGTCCTCGCCCCGTCTCGTCCTCCGTTCCTTTCTTCCCTCTCTTCCTGCTTTGCGCCCGCAGGCACGCACTTAACGGAACGCGTGCCGCTAGCGGATGCGGGGGAAGGCTTCAGCGAAGAAGAAAGGCGCCGAGAGGGACAGGATACAGGAGGGGAGCGGCGCGACTTCAGCCTCGCGGAAAGGAGGAAGGCGTGTAATGGTTGCTGGAAAGGGGCTACGCACACATATTCACAAATATACACATGCACACACACATATATATATATATAACCTATGTGTATATGTATGCGTACATGTATATGCCAATGCATATGTACATGCAAACACAAACACGTCCTTTTACATCTATTCAGACATGTACGCATAACTATGTGTACATCTGTTTGATATTCACGCAAATGAGTATGTAGGTGCAACGACATACGTGTATGCATACGTCAATGTACACACATACATATGGACAAGCATACATATATATCTATATATATATATGTGTGTATGTGTTTTTGTATATGTAAATGCGTGTTTATATCGGAAGTGACGGGGTGATATCGAAGTTGAACGGACAGCCCCCGTACCGGGAAATCGGTTTCGGTTTCGTGTTCGTGCGTGCCTTGCGTGCGGGCGAGGCGAAGCTGCGTGGGCGGGCGAGAAGAAAGTCTCCTGTGGCTGAGGCGCGGCCGGACCAAATGATTCCCTTCCGGCAACCGGTGGCCCGCGGTGTCCCGCGGGTGTCCCGCTGTGGCTGGGCGCGGCCGGACCAAATGACTCCTTTCCGGCGTCTGGTGGCCCGCAGTGTCCCGCCGGTGTCCTGTCGGTGTCCCGATGATGATGATGATGATGATGATGATGATGATGATGATGATGATGATGATGATGATGATGATGATGCTGATGCTGCTGATGATGATGATGATGATGATGATGATGATGATGATGGTGATGGTGATGATGATGATGATGATGTTGATGATGATGATGATGATGGTGATGGTGGTGATGATGGTGTCCCGATGATGATGATGATGATGATGATGATGATGATGATGATGATGTTGACGATGTTGATGATGATGCTGATGATGGTGATGGTGGTGATGATGATGGTGTCCCGATCATGATGTTGATGATATTGATGGCGATGATGATGATGCTGATGATGATGATGGTGTCCCGATGATGATGATGTTGATGTTGCTGATCATGATGATGTTGATGATGAGGCTTTGATGATGATATGATGGTGAGGATGATGATGGTGTCCCGATGATGATGATGCTTTTGTTGATGATATTGATATGGTGGTGATGATGATGGTGCCCCGATGATGATGATGTTGTTGATGATGACGATGACGGTGCCCCGATGATGATGCTGATGATATTGATGAGGTGGATGATGAGGAGGTGATGAGGATGATTTTGATTATGGTGGCCCGATGATGGTGATGATGATGATGATGCTGATGTTGATGGTGATGATGGTGTCCCGATGATGATGGTGATTATGATGATGATGATGATGATGATGATGATGATGAGGATGAGGATGAGGATGAGGATGATGATGATGATGATGATGATGATGATGATTGTGATGATGATGATGATGATGATGATGATGATGATGATGATGATGATGATGATGATGGTGACGATGATGGTGTCCCGATGATGATGATGCTGGTGATGATGATGTTGCTGATGATGATGGTGTCCCGATGGTGATGATGTGATGATGCTGTTGATGATGTTGTTCATGCTGATGATGAGCTGATGATGATGGTAAGGATGGTGCTGTTCCGATGATGATGATGATGATGATGATGATGATGATGATGATGATGATGCGGGCGTCCCGATGCTGATGATGTTGATGATGATGCTGATGGTGACGATGATGGTGTCTCGAAACTGATGATGGTGATGCTGATGTTGATGTGATGCTAATGATATTGATGACGTTGGTGACGATGACGTTGTTGATGATGATGATGATGATGTTGATGATGATGATGATGATGATGATGATGATGATGATGATGATGATGATGATGATGATGATGTTGACGTTGATTGTGAGATCGATTGGGGTATCGATCGTGAGACCGACAGTGGTACCGAATGTGAGATCGATTGTGAGATCGATTTTGAGAGCGATAGTGAGATCGATTGTGCGATCGATAGTCAGATCGATTGTGAGATCGATCGAATGAAATAGATCGAATGAGATCGATTGTGAGATCGATCGAGTGAGATCGATCGAGTGAGAAAGATCGTGATATCGATCGTGAGATCGATGGTGAGACCGACCGAGTGAGACGTTTGTTCCTCACCCGCCCCCGAACCTCCTTAACACCCGAAGGGTGGTCGTATAGGTATGTATATGCATGTATATATATATATATATATATATATATATATGTATACATCTGTATACATATGTGTATTTATATGTATTTAGAAAATTGTTTGCGATCCATAGCACGCATAGCATATCACCTTGCACAAAGGCCACGTCTTTCTATGCGTCATTGTGATTGAGCCTGGCGGATGCTCCGCATTGCTGGCTCGCTCGCTCGCTCACGCGCCCGCGCCCCCAGGCTCCCGCGAGCCTGGAGGAGGCGTGCGCGTCCGGCTTTTGCGGCGGTTCCGCCAACGGCGCCGCCGAGTTCGACTTGTCTTTCCCCGTGGAGGCATCCTTCGCTGGGAGGGCTGTGCGGGAGGGGCGGTGAGGGACAACGGTAGGGAGGAATCGTCTCAGGGGGGATGCATCGACCCTCAATCGCCCATTCATCGACGACGGGGGCGTGACAGCAGGCTCCGCGCACGAGCGTGCGGATCTGCTATCGGGAGCCTATGCAAAGCGAGGAGGAGGAGGTGGAGAAGGAGGCGGAGAGGGAGGAGGAGGAGGAAGAGGAGGAGGAGGAGGGGGAGGGGGAGGAGGAGGAGGAGGAGGAGGAGGAGGAGGAGGAGGAGGAGGGAGAGAGGGAGGAGGAGGAAGAGGAGCAGGAGGAACAGGATGAGCAGGAGGTCCTTTCGTGAGAGGGGAACGCTGTGGGGCCCTCCTGTCCCATAATTTGCGCATCCGTCTCATCATTATATCTTTCATTTCCTCATCCATCGTCACATCGTCGTCTGTATTTCCATCATCATCTGGACCATCTGCATCATCATCGGTTTCGTGCTGGAGTGTCTCCAGCTTGTCTTGTGGCAATCTCACAAACGGATTTCAATGTTTGGGGATCTGCAGTGGCGGCACCCTGAGCCCAGGAAAGCTTGAGAGGAAACCATGAATCCAGATGGAAAACATAAACAGCAGGGAACACCTGTGACTGTCGATATTTTGATGGTGCAGACTCCCCACACTTAAAAATCATTTGGTTGCATTCTTTGCACCAGGATTCCTTTAGTGGCGAAGTTTCAAAACAAGGATTTTACGTGTGGGAGGTCTGCCATGACCTCCACGTCTAGTATCCTTGTGTAGCAGCCCGTGCAACGGGATTCCTTTGGTGGCGGCCTTACGAGAGGGTTTCAATTGTGGGGGATCTGCAGGGGTGGCACCCTGAGCCTGGGAAAGCCAGAGAGGAACACGGAACGAATAGGACAAACACGAACCAGCATATGAATTCACAGGGGGAATGTAAGAAACAGCTAGGGCAACCTGTGGCTGTCGCTATTTTTATGGTGCAGGTCCATCACACTTAAAATTCTTTTGTAGTAGCCTTGGCATAAGGATTCCTGGTGTGGCGACTTCACAAACGCATTTCTTTTCTGTGATATCTGCCATGACTGCCACACTTAGAATCCCTTTGTAGCAGCCTGGGCCACGGGAGCCCTGTTGTGGCGGCCTCACGGGGTGGTTTCAATTGTTGGGGATCTGCATAGGCGGCATCCTGAGCTTAGGAAAGCTAGAGATGAAAACAGGAAACACATGACGCACATGAAGAAGCTTGTGTTCTCACATGGAAAAGTAGGAAAGCGTTCGGACAACCGATGCTTGTTGTTTATGTTTATAATGCGGATCCACTACACTAACAATACATTTGCAGCATATCCACACACACGCAAACTGATTGATTTGGTGGCGACGTTACACATTTATTCTAGGTGTGGGTGATGCGCAATGGCTTCCACGCTTCTAACCCTTTTGTAGCAGCCCTTTCAGCGGGTTTCCCTTGGTGGCGGCCTTACAAGAGGGTTTCAGTGGCGGCGCCCTGAGCCAAGGATAGCTAGAGAGGAGACCAGGAAATACAGGAAGTACAATAACCAACCTGTGTTTTCACAGGGGAAATAGGAAACAGCTAGGACAACCTGTGTTTGTTGTTATTTTTTTTGGTGCGGATCCACCACACTCAGAATTCTTGTGCAGCAGTCTTTACAACACTGATTCCTGTTGTGGCAACGTTACAGAAGGCCTCCGCACTGAAACTCCGTTTGCAACAGCCAAGACACAAGGATTTTTTTGGCGACCTTACAAAACGGATAGCCGTTTATTTGTAGTGCATCTGCATTATATGATAACGACCGTCACAGGTTTCTTATATATTCCATATTCTTATGTGTGAAGACACAGGCTTTTTTATGTTTTTACTTGGTTCCCAGTTTTCCTCTTCAGCTTTCCTAGATTCAGGGTGCAGCTACGGCATATTCCCCACACTTGAATCGCTTTTGTAAGGCCGTTGCAACAGGAATCCCTTTGTACAGGCTGCTACAACAGGTTTCCAATCGTGGCAGACCTCCCCACACATAGCATGCTTTTGTGACGTCGCCACAAAACGGATCCTGTTGAAAAGGCTGCTACACAAGGATACTAAGTGTGGCGGGTTTGCATCATAAAAATGGTGACAGCCACAGGGCTTCCGAACTTCTTATTCTTCCATGTGAGAACACAGGGCCATCTCAGGCGTTTCACGGTTTCCCGGTTTTCCTCTTTAGCTTTCTTGGGCTTCAGGGTGCCGCCACTGCAGATCCCGCACAAGCCAGACCCTCTTGTACGGCTGCCACAAACGGAATCCTTTTGTACGGGCTTCTGCAACATTATTCTAAATGTGGAGGCCACGTGTGCCTTCTAGCTGGGACTTCGCACTTCGCACTTCGCACTTCTACACCATGATTCTAAGTGTGGAGGCCCTTGCACATCTCCCATACTTGAAAACATTTTTTTGTAACGTCGCCACATGAGGAATCCTGTTGTAAAGGCTGCCACAACGCAGATTCTCCAAATAGGCTTGCCCTATAGGAGTTCTAACTCAAATCCTACTAATTGGTCCGTTGCCCCCCTTTAATTCCTATGCCTCCCCCTAATTCCTATGGCCATGCCTATGCCTATGCCTATGCCTCCCCCTAACTCCAATGCCTACGCCTATGCCTATGCATATGCACCACCTCTGAGAGCTCATATGCCTATGCCTATGCCTATGCCTATGCCTATGCCTATGCCTATGCCTATGCCTATGCACCACCTCTGAACGTTCCTCCGCATATGTCTATGCTTGTTTGCTCGCTTGCTTGCGCGTTTGCACGCTTGCTTGCTTGCTTGCCTGCTTGCGTGCTTGTTTGTACGCTTGCTTGCTTGCTGAGTTGCGGATTCCAAGCGTGCTTGATTACTCTGTATTCCTTGGCGTTAGTCGTATAATCTATTTGGAGTCAATGTTGGCTGATAGTTAAAGTGTGAGGGACCTGCACCATAACAAGTAGTGACAGTCAACTGTGTTCCTGGCTTTCCCGAGTGTTCTTGTGAAAGCGGAGCTTTTTCATTGTTTTTCCCGTTGTTAGTGTTTTCGTCGCTAGCTTTCTTGGGCACAAGGTCTGGCCAGTGCAGATCTCCCACAGTTGAAACAAACCTTTTTTGGTACAGGCTTCTACAACAGGATTCTAATCGTTGAGGCCACGGCAGATCTCCCAGCCATATCATGCTTTTGTGACGTCGCTTTACAAATACTCCGTGTGTAAAGGCTGCTACAAAAGGTAGGGTTGCAGAGGCTTGCCAGGAAAACAGGAACACCAACAGGTCAAACAGGAGGACCACATTTGTGGTTTCACACGGAAACATCAGACAAAGTAGAGACAACCTGTGTTTGTCTCTATTTTAGCGGTCAGGTAATTGAAAACGCTTGCAGTCACAGGTTTTCATGAGTTGTTCCCATGCGAAAGCACAGCGTTTACTGTGCTGATTGTTTTCCCCCGTGTTTTCATGTGTTTTCATGCCACGTCTTCGCGGCTCCACTTGCTGCCTCTGCAGATCTCGTACGCTCGAAGTCATGTGTACATGTAGCGCACATGTGTTTCGTTTGTGGGGACTTACAAAGTGAGGAACGCAATGAACACAGTTCTCGCAGTTCGCAGCGCCAGATGATTACCATGCTGTAGGTTTTCGTTGTTTGCGAGAGAGGAGTGCCCCATAGCGTTCCTTTCTCGGAGGAGGAGGAGGAGGAGGAGGAATAGGAGGAGGAGGAGGAGGAGGAGGAGGAGGAGGAATTGTAGTTGACGTAGGGACGAGGAGGAGGGGGGAAGAGGAGATGAAGGAGGCAGAGGAGGAGGAGAAGGAGGAGGACGAGGAGGAAAAGGAGGAGAAGGAAGAGAAGAGGAAGAGGAAGAGGAGAGGAGGAGGAGGAGGAGGAGGAGGAGGGAGAGGAAGACGAGGAGGAGGAAGAGGAGGAGGAGGAGGAGGAGGAGGGGAGGAGGAGGAGGAGGAGGACGTAGGATGAGGAGGAGGCGGAGGAGGCGGGAGGAGGAGGAGGAGGAGGAGGAGGAGGAGGAGGCGGCGGAGGAGGAGGAGGAGGAGTTTTAGTTGACGTGTTGACGTAGGACAAGGAGGAGGAGGAGGCGGAGGAAAAGCAGCAGGAGGCGGAGGAGGAGGAGGCGGAGGACGAGGACGAGAAGGATCTTGGCGCCCGGTCTGCCCCCGCCTCGGGCGCGCGCGTTGAGGTGGAAGACGGCCGGCGGCTGGTGATCAACTGGAATTTCGAGGACGATCCAGAGCAGGCGGGCAGCCGCGGTGCGAAAGTCTGGCGAGAATGATGAGTAGGATGATGAGTAGGATGATGAGTAGGATGATGATGACGATGACGATGACGATAACGATAATGATGATGATGATGATGATGATGATGATGATGATGATGATGATGATGATGGTGATGATGATGATGATGCTGATGATAATGCTGATGATGATGCTGATGATGATGATGGTGGTGGTGATGATGATGCTGATGATGATGACGATGATGATGACGATGATGATGATGATGATGATGATGATGAAGATGATGATGCTGCTGCTGCTGATGTTGATGATGATGATGATGATGATGATGCTGCTGATGATGATGATGCTGATGATGATGATTCTGATGATGATGCTGATGATGATGATGATGATGATGCAGATGATGATGATGCTGCTGATGATGATGATGATGATGATGACGATGATGATGATGATGCTGATGATGATGATGATGATGATGATGATGATGGTGGTGGTGATGCTGATGATGCTGATGATGATGATGATGATGATGATGATGATGATGATGATGATGATGATGATGATGATGATGATGATGATGATGATGATGATGATGATGATGATGATGATGATGATGATGATGATGATGGGGAGTTCTTCAACAGTAATCGCAGAGCGTTGGAGGGCCGCGCGGTGCTTGTATCTGCTACCGCTTCGGCCCGTTTATTCGGAGGAGGTCGCGTGCTGCCTGGCCCGCCCGCGACCTGGATGCGCCAGGCGGCCCGCGGCGCGGTGCTCCTGGCGTTCCACGTGGGCTCGGCATGGTTCGGGCAGTGGTGGGCCAGCCGCGGCCCCGCCAGCCCTTCGGCCGCGCGGCCCGTGGCCGCCGCGCCGCCAGCCGTGGCGCCGGCGCCCGCTCCGCCATCGCGGAGCTGCCAGGCGGCCGCGCCGCCGACCCTCGCGCTGGCTGGCGAGCTGTGTGCGGAGTTGGAGAGGTGCCTGCCCTGGGGGGCTGCGGCACCGCTGGTGGTGGCGTGCCCAGACCCTTGCCCGGCGTGCCCCGAGCCGGCCAAGGCGGAATTCTCCTGGGGCTTCGAGGTCTCCCTGGGCCTGGGGACCCTCTTGCTGTGGGAGCTCGCCACCAGGCTGAGGGCCGCCGTGCGCGGCCAGGCGGGCCGCTGCTGCGGCCGGAAGCGCAAGGGCTTCCTCGCGGTGGAGGCCCGGCTCGTGCCCACCCTGCCTGGCGGTGCTCCTGATCGCAGGGTGCCCGGAGGCCGCGGCAAGCTCGTCGGCGACTGGACACCGCCTGCGGTCAAGGTATGAAATTTGGCGATGAGTTGTATGTCGAGTATGATCTGCCAGTGGTGCCTGTCTTACATGCCCGTGTCGTGGTCGGCGTCTCTGGGATTGCGAGGCTCCGCGCGGCGGTGGTCTCGCTGGACCACGACCTCTTCGTCGAGTTGTTCAGCGAGGACAACGACGACGTGCGGCACTGGTACCGCGTGGGGTTTGGGCGTGCGCTCATCCGCGAGGATGGGGACATCATGCCAGCCGCCGGCGGGGCGGGGTTCAGGGTGCACGACTTCGCCGCGCCCCTCACGCCTGCGGAGCTACAGGCCTTCGGGCAGCAGGCTTGGGTGCTCCTTGACTCTCGCTGTCGCTGCGGCGCGTGCTGCAGCTGGTGGTGGCGGAGCGGTGGTCGCCGCTGGCGGCGCTGGGGCGGCTGGGAGCAGGCGCAGGGGGTGCTGCAACGCCCGTGAGGGGGGCGGCGGCGGGCTTGCCGCTGCAGGAGGACGGGCAGGCGGCCTCGCCGCGCTGCTCGGAGGAGGCGGAGGTGCAGCTGCCCGCGTTGGGGCAGCAGGAGGAGATAGTGTCGGAGCGTTTGGCGCAGGAGCCGCCCCCGCCGCCCTGGGCGCGCCCGCTGGCGCCGCGCCGGCCGCGGCCCTAGCTGGAGGCAGGCTGGTTGCCGCGCCCCCGGCCGTAGCGGGAGGCGCCGCTCAAACTGGCGCTGCCCCCGCGCCCGCAGCCGCCGCCGCGGACGGTGCCGCGGGGCTCGCTGCGGCGCTGCCTGGAGCAGGTGCTGGGCCGTTGGCCGTCGCAGCCGACGGAGCAAGTGATGGTGCCGCTGGCTCGGGTGACTGCTGTGCGCTCTCGGTGCAGTGCGACGTCAATCGGAAGCGGCATCGGGCGTTCGCTTCGGGTGTCGCATTGCTTCGGGCCGTCGACTGGAACGACTGGGTGGTGCCAGGGCCGAGGACAGCTCACTGGGTGGCGAACTTCATGCTGGAGAATGGAGGGGGCGCGCTCGGGCACCGCGTCCAGTGGAGGTCAGTTATTCGCTTGGGGCTGGATGACATCATCGTTTCGGCTCATCACGAGTACTCGAAGATCTTCGACGCGGCGCTGTGCTGCGACCAGTTCGACCTCGCGCGCCTTGCCAGCCTGGAGTTGGTCTCAAGACAGCTTCAACTCTGTGAAGAAAGGCGCAGAGATCGCGTCCTGGGGACGCGCAAAGACAACGACGAGCACCAGGACGAGGAGTACTACTTCACAGGAATGGCGACGACGAGAGGCCTCGTGGTGGCCCTGGCTCTCTCAACCTGGATCAGCGAGCAGATCTCGAGGGAGAACGCCGTCGCCAAGGAGAGACGCGAAGCACGGGAGGAGACAGCTTGCCAAGCCCAAGGGGGCCAAGGGGCCGAAGTGGGCCGAGGGCAGCTGATCTCTACGACTACTTCATCGATCAAGGCTGCCTGCTGCTCCCTGGCCCTGGGCGTGCAGGCTTTCACATCTTCGGCCGCGAGGTGATGGTGCGCCAGCGCGACATTTTGCCTCTTCTCCCTGTCCCTTCTCGGACTGGTGCTGGCTGCCGTGCCGTCGCCCGTCGTGCTCGCCGCCGTCGCCGTGCTCTCTACTGGGCCAACGACGGCATCCAATCGCTTAACTCACTTGCTGGACGTGATTTGGCTGTGGATGGTGCCGTGGGCGCTGTGCAGCAGATGCGCCTCGAGCACCTGGGGCGCAGCTGCTGCTCGGTTGGCCCCTGTCCTGCTGATGCGCGTCGCCGCGGGGGCCTTCGTGAGCTCTGCGGAAGCGCCGCTATGGGGGAGTGCGCTACAACCGTCGTGGCCTGCAACAGGGGCGCTGTGTCCTGGCCGGCCGCGGGGGCGAAGCCCGTCTCCTTGGGTGAGGCGCTGCCATCCGAGCGCCCTGCCTGGTTGAGGGATCTGGCGGCCAACGCGCGCAGACTTCCAGCTGCCGCGGCTGGCCTGCGGTCTCAGCTGGGACTTCGACGTCCTTATCTTGACCCTGCACTTCGGAATTGCAGAGTGCACGGATATTTTGTGACTGGACTGGTGAGTCGCGGCATGGCTCGACTTGTGCCCGCCGAGGATCCTGACGACAGCAATGCAAGGGCGGGCTTGTTCTTCGTCGAGAAAAAAATCAGATGCAGAGGATCATCTTCGACGCCGGGTTGGCGAACTGCGATTTCTCGCCGCCGCCGTCGACGCACTTGCCCTCGGCCGCCGCCTTCGCGAAGCTGGAGGCGCAGGAGTGCGACGTCGTCTGGTTCAGTAGCGGTGACATCAGGCATCGAGGTGCCAGAGGAGTCGGGGTCCTTCTTTAGGCTACCTGCGTTGCGCGGCGGCGCGGCGGGCTTGCGGGGCCGCGGCGCTTCGACGCTCGTGGTGCCTGTGCTGGCGGTGTTACCGATGGACTGGAGCTGGGCGCTGCGCCTCTGCCTGCCGGTGGCGGGGAAGGGGCTGGCGCGGGGCGGCCCGCGTGCCGAGGTCCTCGTGGAGGATCGAGAGGCCTCTCGCCCGCTGGGCCCGGGGCGCCCGCTGGGCGCGGCCGCGTGCGTCGACGACTTCATGGTCGTGGGCTTGCCGAAGCAGGGCGTCGGCACTGCTGGGCCTTGCTGTCGCGGAGGCACGCTCCAGCCAGGGCTTCGCGATCCACGAGGAGACCGACGGGGCCGTGTGCCATGCGGACTTCGTGGGCGTCTTGTTCGACGGGCGCGGCCACGCGGTGCGGGTATCCACCGCGCGCGTTTGGAGTCTGCGTCTGGCTATTGAGGAGCTCTTGGGCCGTCGTGCCTGCTCGGGGCACGCGATCGAAATCGTGGTGGGCCATGCGACCTGGATCGTGATGGTTCAGCGGTCTTCTCTGTCGGTGTTCAGCTCCGTGTGCGCCTGCATCAAGTCCGAGGGCATTGAGGAGGGCGAGTTGTGGCCGGCCGTGAGACGGCGGCCCTGGCACGCCAGCAACTTGCCGCCGCTGATGGCGGCTCGCGCGGACGCCAACTGGCACGGCGAGGTCGCGGCCGGCGACGCCTCGCACCGGGGTTGCGGAGTCTGCGAGCGCGAGGCGGCCGTGGAGGAGAGATCGCGCGCTGGGCGCGGACGGCTGAGCGTTGGCGGTGCCGCCAGGGCGCCGCGGCCGCTCGGGCCCACGCCTGGGGGGGCGAGGATGCCTCTGCGATGCTGGGGCAGCTGCTGGCGTCGGACGACCTGCCGGACAGCTTGCGCCAGGCTGGCGAGCGCGCGAGGGCCTTCGACATGGTCGACGCGAGCTTCGCTGTCCCAGAGGCATGGCATATCGTCGAGTCGTTCCCTTGGCGGGGCCCAGCGAACATATTGCGGCTGGAGGGGCTCGCTCTTCCGAGCTCGCTTCGGCATCTCCTTCGAGGCCGGAAAGCTTTCGGACGTCGAGTTCTGCTCTTGGTCGACAACCTGGGGCTGGCCCTCGCCGCCGGGAAGGGCTGATCGTCGGCCTTCGAGCTTCGTGACGTCCTTCGCGAGATCAGCGCCCTCACCCTGGCGCGCCGCCCCCGCGAGTGCGTCCGCTGGGCCCCGTCGGAGAGGGGCCCGGCAGATGCCCGTCGCGAGGCCTGTATTACCTCGCGCCGCAGCTGGATGGGGGAGGCCGCCGAGGTGGGGCCTGCTGCTGCTGGTGCTGGGCCTGGAGTGCTGCCAGCAGTGCCAGAGTTCCCGAGCTTCGGCGCAGGCGA